TAGTAAGCAACGGCTCAACTAACATATACGATAATTTTTTTTCACAATCAAACTTCAAAGGCACTCTAATGTTTATTGAAAAGTGAAGCAATGTCACTTGGACCTATCTGATGAGGAGGATGGGATGGAATTTAGGTAGAGATTGTAGGTTTATATTGTAGCATTCTTTTTTTGGTATTTAAAAGAAAAAAAAAAGGCAGAGAGATGCACTTATTTAAACATAACAAGAAAACAATGAAATAATTGGAAAATCAAAGATTCAAAATAGACAATTGCTTAGTCAAAGAGGAGGGCTACCCTGTAGTGTAGCCTACCCAATTATAGGACCTAAGAAATTTGATAACAGGATAATTAGACAATATCTAACAAAGTAACATTGATGCAGGCACAAGAGAAAAACACAATATAGCATAGGCATGTTTAGAAAATTTTTGGAAACTATTACTTAAATTCCCAATGCATTAGATGACAATTCCAACTTGATTTGTCTAAATAAAACAATTATGCTAGACATGGTACACCTTGCTATAATGCTCGAGGCTTTCTGTAGGATACCAGGTGTTCAGATTCACCAAGTCAAGTTTACTATCAGAGCTGGTTATTATTAGTAGCTTCCAGGAAATGAAATTGTTCAAAAAAAAAAATGCTTCAAAAATCTATAATCCCCAAAAAGAAACACCACTACCTCCAACCCACCCACCCCCCCCCCCCCCCCCCAAAAAAAGGGACACATAAGGGAAGAAAACTCCATCAGCAACACAAGAAACACTGTAAACGTAAGTAAGTTCATTACTGTATATTAAAACAGACGTATAGATGACCATGGCCAAGCTTAGTATGCATACTAAAGCAATTAGTCAATCAGCACTCATGAATAACCAAAGTGAATGATTATGGGACCAACAACCATCATTCAAAACATCAAATAAAGATCTCACCTTACCGTATATCATCACCTTTAGTAACTGTACTACGACAACTTGTTCTGAAACCAGTTTGGTCCATGCCAGGAAAACCACCCATACTTGATCCAAAGATGTCTCAAAGAGATCAAAGGGATTAATCTGCAGGTCAAGGAAAATAATATCTAAGTTAGACTAACAACTGTCTAGAGTTCCTATTGCTGCCTAGGTTAATTGCATGCTAATTCATAGAGAATCCATCATAATTTTTCACAAAAATATAGGTGCACAACTGTTTTATTTCCCCACCTAATCTGAAACTCGGCAATCAAAACTCTACATGTTAAAGCAACTATGCAGACAAACAAAAATTCTTGCTTACAAGCAGACATGGTGCACAAAGTGGCAACCGAAAAGGCAACAATGACTTAGACGGCCAAGCTGACAAAGCCCTCTAATAATTTTCCACAATTGTTGTCTAACCACTTAAATTTCACATTCAATGTGACATTAATCTTATACTCAAACAACCAAATATTTAGGAAGGAATAATCAAACAGGAACCTTGCTGTCCAAGTCTGGTTCACATGTCTTTCAGTGAAGTAATCAACAAGGAAAGTATGTCTATACTTCAAGCATTATCCCTTGTCATTATGAGAACAGCTAAACTTAATTAAAAAAAATATACATAATAAATGCATACCGTATAAGCACTGGACTGTCCCCCTACTGTACTCTTGACTTCAGCTTCACCATATTGATCATAAAAAGCTCTCTTTTTATCATCCGATAACACCTGATAGTATTGCATGTCATTGTTCAAAAAACAACATGATGAATAATTTTGAACACGGTAATGTACTTTTACAAAAGGAAACCTCTAGGAAAGAAAATTTGTGAACACTATGCTCGACAGACTGAAATGACATTAACAGAAAAAAGAATAAAATATGAAACAATCATGTTCATCAACAGGGTAAATATCAAGACCTTCATCTGCAATCATAGGATAACCAACATAAGTTGTATCTTAAGATTTCAAGGCATGTTGAATCAGTATTAACAAATAACAACACACTATGATATAGAAAGACACCAACACACATTAAGGCCAATTAATCAACTTGAAACCATAATAAACTTACCCTTTGGAACTTGCTTTCCCTGCAAAAAGCAGGATGTAAATTACATCAGTTTTATAACCTCTAAGGATGAAAGTAATTGAGTTTAGTTTGTTGGGCACAAGAAAATTTCAGATACTTTTTTCAACAGGCTTTACATCCAATTCCTCCCTTATATGGAGTCTGAAATTGTTTTAATTTGAGAGGATCTGGTGCATATTCTACAGGGCCTAACTCTAGAAGTCTTGACTGAATAAATAGCACATTGACATATTATTGATCACATGTCACAATAAAAAATAAGAAACCTGGTATTCACAGTACTTTTAATCTCAATATTCAATGCTAAACAACATTAATACATCTGTTTATATATTTTACACATGGGTTAAAAGATATATATATATATATAAATAGATTTATAATCCAGAAATATATGCCACACTTTACAATATTATAGATAAATTTTGCACAAATTTACCATAAATTTTGCACAAATTTACCAAATCTATTTTACCTTTGCTAATCCTTGGTCCTAAAGTCAAATTACGTGGAAATTCAAAACTATGCTCACTAGCAAGAGAGAGAAAGAGAGCCAAACAAACAAGCAAACAATAATAAAGCAGAAATTTTAGAATTGCCCTTCAAGAATAACATTTTATTTTTAATTTTTTGTTTCAGGTAAACAAGCAAACAGATTCTTGGCGTGACATTAATCTGTACAGAGAATGAAAGACAAATAGTAGGACAAAAAAGAAAAAAGAAAGTAAGTAAAACATAAGCAACTCCAATAAAGCTATCCACAATGGAGAAAACCACTTAAACCATAAAGTTAGTAGAATATTTCAACTAGCAGTACTCAGAATGCAGGTAATCATGGAAAAATTTTGAAAATCATTGGCCTAAACATTTTGTGCATACCTCATATGCAGCACTAATCTCCTTAAACTTTTCAGTTGCTCCTGGTTCCTTATTCACATCAGGATGATACTTCAAATTAAGATGAAAAGTTACACTGTCAAGATTACCAAGACAAACAAAACAAAAGATAACAAGTAAACAAATCATTAGTGCATGCAGTTCCAATACAAACTTAGAAGCTTTAAATTCACAATAAAGGCTATTTACAATTAAAAGATAATGAAGTTAAACCAGTAAACATCTAGAAAGAACTCCGGTTTACCTTTTCAAAAGAGTTTTTTTCTAGGGGCAAATAGCTTGCTCGAATCAGGCCAGATTATATAGTTGAAAGCACAAGATAAGAGACACCAACCAAATGATGTTCTGAGAAGCAAGCATGGAGTACAATCATTTAATTGCTAATCATACAACTATTCTGCCACTGATTTATGATTGGCAACAGGTTACATACAAATGGACGTGTAATATTTACAAGAAAGACAGCAAAAATTTCAATGCAGAACAGAACAGCTTTTCTTCATGAAGCTATAGAAAGTTGAAGCATTTTATTCATAGATATCTAAATTTGGGTTGGCTGTTAGCTACAATGGAAAAGATAGGCCAAATAAGATCAAATTAAACACAGAATAAACTTGCTATGTAATTGTCACGAAATTCATGCCTTTCTCTAAACCAAAAAGGAACAACAGTGAGCACCATAATGACAGTGAACTTACAAATTTACAAACAAAGCATCTCAAAAATAACCCATGATATGCTACAGTCATCATTGAAAGAATGAAGAGAAAAGGTTTCTGCCAAAATGAGAGGACTAAAACAATGTTAAAGGAATAAGCAAATCCCTTGCCACATTCTATTTTCTTTTTCCTTGTACAATCTTTCCACCAACCATTTCCTTCATATCCACCCACTCCAAAAGTTAAAACTTGGGACTTTCAACTTAGAGCTCTCAGGTCCGAATATCGGGTTCTGCTGGAAAAAATCACCTCTCTTTTTATAACTCAAGACCTAAGTAACTTGCTTTCATATGTACCAAAAATTGTGGGAAAAGCATTCGTCCCCTTATCCAAAATACCCATTTGAACTTCGCTCTTCTTGAGAGCTCCTTACCTCACTTATCTCAACAAGAGAACACACCAGTAACAAAACCCAGAACGGAAATGCAAAATAAATAATAAAGAGAATTCTAAAATTAAAGAAGAAAAAAAAACAATTGAGTTGAGTGAGGTACCTGACGAGCTAATCTACGATAAGCGGACTTAATTTCCTTACTAGAAGCTGATTTCGGTACTCCAAGAGTAGCGTAATAATCCCCAGAAGTAGCCACCACCATCCCAAAGCGGTACCTGCCATTATTCAATCTCCAAGAACATTTTGAAGAACAAAAGGAACCCACGAAAGCAAAGCAGTCGTGGGACCCGAGACGTGTCCCACCATTGAAGAAAACAGAACAAAAAGAAGAGGAAGCTTGGGAAGCGTTTGAATGGCGTTCAGTTGGGATGCTGAGAGATGAAGGGAGTAGAGAGAGAGAGAGAGAGATAGTGGCAGCCATGAAAAAGAAAAAGAAAAAAAAGAAGTGTGAATTCTCTTGTAAGTGTTTGATAAAATGGGCGTCCAATGACACAGAATGTTGCGTTTGATCTGGTTTGTGTTTGGTTGGTTTGACAAAGCAGCAGAAAGAGAGAAACTGAGAGTTGAGAGGAAAGGCGGGGCCGTCGGAGCCAGAAATATTGGATTTGTGGTTTTTATACAAACACGTTTTTTTGTAGTCCCCACCGTTTCTTTTCTTTCTTTCTTTTTATTTTTTATTTTTTTAGTTTTTCTACAAAGAAAAAAAATCAACTTTTTTTACTTTATTGGCATAAAAAATTAAATTTGTGAGAAAATAAGTTGCTTATTTAGAAATATATAAGAAATAAAAGTAAGGAAAGTAGCCTTTCTTTCAATTCTGGTTGTTGGTCTAAAAAATTTGGAAATTTTAGTACATGATTTGAGATTATATATATCATCTTATTAATTTCATTTATGTAATATCTTACTTATTCAGATCTTAATCTCACTTTCGAAAATTTGATAATTATTCACAGTAAACAAGTAGTCCACTTTAAGAATCCAAAGATATTAAGATAACAAAGAAAATACAGAGATTAAACTGATTCACTTTGAAATATAAATTTGATATTTCTTTAACATACTGGAGAATGAATCAACACTTCATGGCCCCCACATCAGACACAAACTAAATTTCATAGCAAACATACCAACTTAGGCAAACAGCTTAAGCACTTCATCACTAAGATCCATCTTATTTTCAGAAGACATCGGGGTGGAAATGCCCTGGGATGGAGTTGCTTTGCTGTGCCTCTCTCAAATGCATCGTCAAGGCATAGTTATTTACCTGCAATGCAAGCAAAATACGAACATAAATTCCATCGACATAATAGTAACTTGATATTCTCCACCAGTATATTACAGACAACGTTTACTGACTAAAAGAAGAGTTGTGAAAAATTTTGATAGAGACCTCTAGAGTTCGCAGCTGCTCCTGATACTGAGACACCAACTGCTTCAAATGTTGCAATTCATGGTTTTTATCCTGATACTCCTTTTGACGTTCATGCTGAATAGCCACAGCACGTTTGAGGACTGTATTTTCTTGAATCAACACTTCAATCTGTTCCTTTAACAAGATGTTTTCCTGCAAATAGAATTAAAATCAAGTCGACAAGGTGATATTTAACAGCTTTAACGCAACATATAAGACAGCACTATTATCCAACATGAAACCCATGTTTGATTTTCATGGATATATCACAAACCATATGCAAAAATTTTAACCTGACTACTTAAAATTACAACTAAGCCAGAAGGCCAAAACCCTCCAAGCTCATGTTTTCCCCTACTTCCAAAAAAAGTTTAACACTTTTTTGGAAGTTCTCTGGAACCACTGCTGTATTTGCATCTAACCAGCTTTTAAAAAAAAAAAAGATTGGAACTGTGATGATCAAATATTCATGAGGATTGCAGTTCTCAATTCTAATTGAGTGGGCCTGCCCCACACTCGACTTAACTAAACTTGCACCGAAAAGCAACCTGACGGAAGCAACTCTAAATTCTCAAGAACCAACAAGACCATAACCACCTAATTTATGTCTTTTCTTTTGGCTCTAAAGTTATCCATACCTGAATTTCCATTCCACTTTAAATCAAGAACATCCAATGAAGTGTAGTTCAGAGGACTGGCAACTTTTGTCACCAAAAAGTTCTACCATTCAGTTCCTCCAAAAGAACCATGCATACTTGATCATAGACAAATTTGTCACTGAAGGGGAAAGGAATGGACAAAAATGATGCTCTTGGAGACAATGATAAGAAATTTTTTGCCATGTCTAAGCATATTGGCATAAAGGGAGGGTCCCCTAGCTTCAAGAACAGACACCTTTCATTGTAGGTCATATTGATTCCTGCTAAGCTCAATCAAGTTCATGCGAACACCTAACTAATATGACTGTCCACCATATAGCATTTTGTCTAAAAACTGCTTCATAAGTTCTACAGGGCCTCTGTCTAATCTGGAAAAAGTATGATAGGTACAGATGTCCAGATGGAAACGAGATACATACCTCGTGAAAACTTTGTGCTGACTCTTCAGCAGCACGGTTACTTATGGACTTCTCCAGAACCTCCAGCAATTTAGAGGCACGGTCTTTAGCATCATCCACACTTGTAGCACTCATCATCTCCCTCACAAACAAGTCCACCCATTCTGCACCATCAACAGGCAGATTTTCTGGGGCCAATATATTCTGAACAGTCATGGCAGCAGTAGCAGTTTCTCTATCATTGGTCAATGTAACTGCAATTTCAAATGAAGATGTGAGATTCCTTACTTAAGAAGTGAGAACAGCCTAGCTTAAAGCAGATGGCGTATTACACACAGCACAACAATTAAACATTAAATAATTAATCTTGAGGAAAAGGCTACATTTTGGTATATATATATATATATTGTTCTACAGAAAATATCCTTCTGAAATTGATTACAAACACAATATAATATTGGAAGCACAAAGCTAAGGACTTAGACATCAAACAGGAAGAGTTAAAATTAAAAAAACAAGATTCCCCACTTCTTTCTCTCATTCAAAAATCATTTTATTGATTTGGATAAGTGTTGGAAGAAGAAAGGTAAACTAGTGGTGAAAGGAAGCTTGTAAACTAATTGGATAATCTCACTGTTTACTCTATGAAACCTACATCCCTTCTCAATCTGCATATAAATTTCACCATTATGCATATAGAATATTCAAGGACTACCAAAAAGAGGCTAGAATCAAATCAAGAGAGCAATAGCATGTAATTACTGATTGACACTGAAACTTTGTAGGTACATCATAGAAAATGTTTTGCAAAATCAACCATCAATCTGCTATAGATTTAAAGTTAATGAAAATTCTTGATAGAAAAAATAAAAAAATTAAAGATGATACAGATCGATCATCAATTATGATGGCAATGTTAAACTAAAATGAATCACAATTGCAAGAAGTAATGGCACACCCTGCTCTGCAATTGTGCCCAGTTCCTCAACAGGAACCGACCTATCCCCAGTAGCTTCTACACCTCCTAAGCAAAGTTCCTGCAGCCTCTTGATGGCAGTGTTTATATCATTGCCGCATTCTAGCAGTGCTCTCTCCAGAAGCTGCAAGGAATAGTTGTTAAATATTAATTAATAGAAGAGACGGATGGATCACTATTTTGACAGCCAACCATAATCTCTTAATCAACCAATGAATTAGTAAAAGCAAACATTTTAAGAGCTAAGCAACAAAAAAGAAGACAAGTAGCTAAGTCTAATATTTTGTACAGTCACACAACTGATTCAGTTAACTTCTTTAAAAGAACTTTCTTCAGTTTTGGGAAATGACACCATTAAGAAAACCCCGACAACTACACAAAGAATTAAACAAAGATGATCATAGAAGTAACCAACTATATGGTTCAACTTAGTTGGTACCTTGCAAAAAAAGGACTTAAACAGTCCCAACCTCAAAGATTTACCATAAAATTCAACTGGGAGATGAAAATTACCTTCTTTTCTTTTAAATGAATTTTACAATAACTAGAAATAAAATTCTGTTTGCTTGCAGGATAAGCCGACGAATCAAACGTATACAAAACCCAATCCAAGTTTAGAATTTTATCCTTTTATCCCCACTTTCCAATCTCCGCATACAAACAGAATTACCAAAGCAAGGAATCAAAAAAATTACACCTTAATCATAAATCTTTTGAAATCTAATTTGCCAATACTATAATAATTTACTGATAACAAATCAAATTTACATTGGCGCATCTAATTAACACAAGAATTGGCGAACATAAATAAATAAGTAAATAAGTAAATAAAAGGGCGATATACCTCAGGTTCCATGTGAGGGAAGAGGGTTTGGAGGTGATCGAGTGGAGACGGCGGCGGAGCGAAACGAACAGACGAAGGAGATGAAGGCGAGCAGCGCCGGAGCTTCTTAGAGACAGAAGCCGATGGCGACGACGGGATATCCTCGAAGAACGGTCTCTTGCTCCCGCACACTGCCGCAGACATCCTTCGTTAAATCAAAGAAAAACTCTCTTTCTAACTCTATCAATCTTTATTCCCTCTCACTCTCCCTTCCTGTCTCTCTAATTTAGAAAAAGAAAATTAGGGTTTTTAAGGGGATCGACTTTTCTGTTTGGTTGATGAGAAATTGACGGATTCTTTTTCAGAGGGTTTACCTTTGGATTTAGGTTTTCTGATTTATATATAATAATGGAGGTGGTCTGGTGGAGAAGAAAAGGAATGCTTTAAAGCGCTGCTGTCTTGTTTTCTGTTTTTATTCTTTTGTTCTTTTATTCTGGGAGCTGCGGCGGTGTCGCGTCGGGGACCTTTTGGCGTAGGGGTCAAATCTATTCTTTTCTTTTTTTTTTTTTTTTAAGGCGAATAATATATTTTTAACTAAATTTATTATTAAATTTTAATAATTTTAAATTAAATAATAAATAAATAAAAATTAATTAAATAAAAAAATTTGAATAAATATTAATTACAGATTTAATTAAGAGTGTATTTATCTTTATCAAACATATCACTTACTATCATTGAATTGCAATTAATCAAAATTACAATTTAAAATTATATGATGTATATCAAAATTCTATATAAAACTCTCATTTTAGTAAACAATTGATGGATTATAATAAAAAAAATTATAAATAAAAAACATTTTGTCTTACTCTATAGAGAAAAGATCTATTTACACCATATTAAAATGTTATACTTTTTTTATCATTAGATTTGCATCAAAATAAATATTTTAAATCTTAAACATTTTAATCAATAGATAAAAAAAATATAATATTAATATTAATGTAACAGGATTCCTAGTCATTATATATATATATATATATATATATATATATATTAGTAAAATCTCTTCTTTAGCTATTGCAAGTATCAATCTTTTTATTTTTAAAATATAAATTAATAAACTTTTGAATTTAATAAAAATTAAAAAGAGTTATTTTAAATCAAATAATTTTTACAGATATAATATTTGATCTAAATTATTCTTTCTTCTTATATTTCTTTTTTCTTTATAAGTATTTTTTTCTTTTAACAAAATATTTAATTTCTTTACCTTATTTTAAAGACATAAATTGATAAAATTAATATGAATGTTGGATAAAATTTTAGTTTTTCACAAAAATAAATTGTTAAAAATTTTTAAAAAAAGCACTAAATCCATCCAAAAAAATTAAACACTATTTTATATATACAAAACATTCAAAATTATATTAGCCTAACAAATTAATATTTATTCTCACAAGCTCAAAAACCTAAAATCCATTTAATTATGTAATACCAAAAATACTTTCAAAACTCAAAAATACTCCAACTACATTTTTCATTAGATAAACAACTTTAATCTATGCTAATATCTATACTATATAATGAAAATAATCCTTAATTATCTTATTGACATTTGGCACAAAATAATTCATTTAAAATTTTTAATTATTGTCAATTATCAGAGGAAGAAATTTGAAAAAATATTTAAAAAAAAAAGTAATCTCAACTATATATATTATAAATCAAATAAACAGAGAAAAAAAAGATAAGAATAGGGAATTTCTAGAAATTTGAATAAGAGAAAAAAAAGGAGAAAAAAAAACAAAGACAAAAATAAAATCCAAGCTTTCGATGCCTCAGGAAAATATGAAGAGTGAGAGAAAGGAAAAGGAGAAAGAGAATGCGATTAGTGAAAATGGGCCAATTCTTCTCCTCTCCTCAACGCCACCTATTAAGATTCAATCTCTTCGTCTTTGTCTTTTGTCCCTCTTAAATCTCTATTTAGTTGGTAACAAAAAATTAAAAAAAAAAAAGGAAATTTTTTGTCATTTTTTGTTTTATATTTGCCTTTTTCGAAAACTTTTTTAATTGGAGATCTATGAGTGAATTGTATATAATAATTTTTCTTTCTAGTTTCTCTTACTTTTTCCCCCCATCTTCTTCTCATTGTTTTCTTTTCCTTCCTCTATGCTTCTCTTAATTTCCTTCAGGTATTTCATTTTTGAATTTTGATTTTTTACTTTAAATCATATTTTTTTTCGTATGTTCATCTTAGTTTGGAACATTCTTTTTCTTTTTTTTTTTGATTTCTTTAGATTTTTTTTTTTTTGCTTTAATCTTTCATTTATTTGTTTAGTCTTAAATGAGAAATTATAGTATCATTGTTTTTATATTTGATCAAAAGAATATATATCAATTTGGTTTTGATTTATTTTTGCTTTTCGTTTCTATTGAAAAGAAATTGTTTAAATAAAAAGTTTCATCTATTTACTTTTTTATGAATGTTTTGTAGAGGTTCTTTGTCTTATTAGTGCAATGTAAGATGTATAAAAATAGATTAAAGTTATACTTAAAATTAAAGTCTAATTTACAGACAACTCATATTTGTCTTAAATTATAATTTAAGGGTTAAATTGGGTATAATATTATAATCATTTGGGTTAAATTTGATTTTGTTAGTTTTAAAATTATCATGATAACTTAAGAACGAAAATGATTTTATTAAGTTAATAATTATTTAAAAAATTAAAAATCATTTTTGTGTTTACTTATATATCAAATCTACACCTTACTATTATTTTGAGGTTTAGGAGGAATGAGATGACATTTGGTCAATTAAGATACTTAATTGAATGAGACATGTTCTTAATTGTGATACATTGATTGAGTTGAGTTGAATGAGTTATAAAAGATCGTATGATTTGTAGTTAATTGGATTCAAGGATACTATTTACTTATATTCTTATTCTTTTATTTTAAATTACGTGAATTTAATTATTCATAAATTTAACTATTCATGAACTTAACCATTTATGAATTCATGATATCCATAAACCTAATTAATTGTTTATGAATATACTTTTTAATTAATGTTATTTAAATTTAATATTTTGAGTTTAAATTCATATCTATTATTTAATAGCATAAATAACCATGAATCAAACCCAAATTGCATGCATCTAACTATTTATGATCTTAACACTATAAAAAATCTAACATATAGTGACTTTCAAAAAAGCATCGGTAAAAGCCCAAAATCCGTCAGTATAGCACCACAAACCTTATACCGATGGTCAAAATATGTATTCCGATGAATTTTTAACCATTAGTATATCTTTTATTGGTATAAACCTATACTGATGGTTTTTAAAAGTATCAGAATAGCTTACAAATATATACCGATGGTTCAAGACCGTCAATTAAATGTATATCTATATACCAATGGTTTAGGACCTATACTAACGAATGTTAAGCATCGGTATAGGTAAGCATTTGTATGTGTTCCACTATTATACCTTTTAGCGACGGTCAACACCCGTCAGTATATACTTGTATGTATTAATTTTTCTTGCCTATACCAATGGTTAATTGTCATTAGTATCGATTTTACTTATATTGATGCTTAAAAGCCATCAGTATAAAGTTATATGTTTTAATTTTCTTACCTATACTGACAACTAGTACCCTTTAGTATAGACTTGTAATTTTTCTTACCTATACTGACGCTTAACATCTGTCAGTATAAACTTATATTTTTTAATTTTCTTACCTATACCGACAATTAGAGACTACCAACATATGTTTTAATTTTTTTATTATATTTTGATGACTATGAGTATCACATGAAATATTTCAACAATCAAGTGCATCAGTATAAATATTAAGATATTGGTAAATTTTTGAAAAAATTATATTTTTAATTATTAATATTAATTTATTTATAATCATAATATAATATGTTTTCATATAAAAAAAAAAACACAATAAAGTAAAATTATTTAATAATATTAAAACTACAATTGAATTATTTAGAATCCACAAACTTAGTATAAATGAAATACTAAAATCATTGTAGCAAGTTTGATAAAACAAACATAGATAAAAAGTTACACCACTTCACCTTAAAAAACACAATATTAACTTTGTACCACCAGACACCTAAAGACCTTTTGATTACCTTAAAACTTCAATAGAACTCTGAACAAAATAATCTTAAAAGTCTATAAATGAACAAACAATTACAAAAATCACCTCAATAAGAAAAAACATACATGCACCTATTACAAGCCCTTTCCAAAACCAAAATATTTTCATTCATACAAAATATCACAAGTCTTGAAAAAATCAACAAGTGTAGCTATATCATATAACTAACAAGTCCAATAAACCTAGCTCACTAACAGTATTCAATATATCAATCAAGCGTCACAAAATACAGCAACATTATTTCAACAAAGTATATAACATCTACAATATAACCAAATTCCCTTACAAATACTATTCTCCGAATAAATAAACAACTTTCTAAAGTAAATGATCCCATCATAGATTTCTACAAAGAACCATCTGCATAACATAAAAAAATCCAATTAGAATTTTTGTAAATTATCTTATATATACAAAAGATAAGAAGGTAATTATCCATTCATATAGCAGTAGAAATAATTTTATAAATATCTTATTCATTCATATATACAAAAGTCAATCATCCATTTATATGCCAGCAAAAATAATTTTATAAACATCCTATTCATTAGTGTAATGCATGAATGATCAAGAAATAACATAATTTGCATGTGTAATCTCCTTTTTCTTTTAGTTTAGTTCTAAATAATAACTTAATGAAACCAATATAAGATTATTTTAGTTAATAGAACTATCATTAAACAAATATTTTCACTAAAACATTTAAGTCTACAACTACAAAGTATGCTTACATCATAAGAAAACCTTTTTAAAGGAAAAAAAATACAAGAAAACATTCTCAAGGGAAAAAAAGTAGGCTTTAAATCATAGTATAATTTAATGATTATGGCAAAAACAATGAGTAATGTTTCAAGATCACAATTACATGATTCAAAACCTAGATTCAAAATTGATTTTGGCATTCTATCTGAGATACAAGTATCAAACAAAGCATTTTCAAATATATATCATGTGATGACGAGTTTACCATCTTCATTTTCATTAGGTTGATGACTTAAATTTGAAGAGTGATAGTTTTCATTTAAGATTTTTGGAGCACTACTAGCATCAGGAGCCTAAAAATAATTCAAAAAAAACTTTAATAAGGTTCAAGATTTATGAGCAAAATAACAATTAACATACATATAAATTAAAATAGATGTTATATATATACCTCTCTATTCACCATGTGAGTAATAGTATTCAATATATCTATATTCTCATTAAAAAATTATTTTTTAAGTACTAATAAGATAGTACCTAAAGTTTCTTTCAAGTCTTTAATTTCAGCCTTCAATTATTGTACCTTTTTCTTATGTTGAACCAATTCAAAAGATAAAGGACCATATTATTTAGATAAAGTAGATATTGTACCCA